TTAACCACAGTAAGGATTTACTAAAGCAAGTTAGTGAACAGAAAATGGCCATCTCAAGGTTTTACTCGGATGTCCCTCAGCAGGGTGCAGCACTGTTGAAGGTCATCTGAATGAAAGCTTGATATGCAGCTTCTTTATGAAAGTGTGTAAATATACAGTGTGGTTGCCGTACATATGTTGAGGTTCTCAGACATCAGGCTTCTTTGCCCAGGCCTTCACTAGTGGGCTATTTTAAAAGTTGGTAAGGAGAAAAACCACAGCATATAGCTGATTGTTTACAAATGCAAGGAGGGGAATAACAATCAAAAACCTAGTGTTCTTGGACCAGATGAATGGAGCGCTCCACATGCACTCAGAGATGTTATGGCTTCTGTTTCTATAACTTTACATGCAGACATTTGAGGTTTGCCAGAAAGAAAAGCTGGCCTGTACACTTTGCAGGGCACAATGTCATCAATGAAGAAACCCCTGTCTACCATGATGACCATCTCTAGTTGTAGCATTTTCTACACACCAGATTCCCAGGTTGGTCGCTGATAGTTCCAGCATACAGTGCTGAGACAAAGGTCACTGGCCTATGTGGCACAATCCAAATGAGCCTCTTCAGAGTGCAGTTGAACTTGAGGAAAATATATGACTCTGGAAGAGAGGGGAATATGGCCATTGACACCTCAGATCAGTGCAGTCAAGAATTACTGGTGTTTGGGTAGTCCTGAACGTGTTGTGATGCCCCCACCGTCTCATTGGGTTTTCATTTGTGTTTAATTGTGTTTTTCTTCTGTTGTAGGCAGCTCGTTAAGCAGCCTTGGAGGCACCTGGGCTCAGGGTGTGGTGCTGCCTACAAAGCCTACTGTTTTTCTGCTTTCACTGGGTCTCTCCTGTGTGGTGGAGAGTCCTCACTGGCCATTTTCTGTTCACTAACTTGCTTTAGTAAATCCTTACTTTGGTTAAATAAATCAGTTGTTGAACCCCCCACTCCTCTGTTTGGTCTCCTTTCTTATTACAGCCCACCACTTCCAGTCTGGGTTGTAACAATCTGCAGACAGATTTCTGAGTATCTCCTCCTTTGGTATACAGATCCTCACTGAGCCATGTACTGTGAACAAATAGTTTCTCCGTGATATTATCCAGCAAGGTCTTGTTTTTGTCAAAACAAGGGTGAGGTAATGAAAAAATAGAAATATTTCAATAAATTAACATTAAAATTATTTATATGCATAATTAAAAAAAAACATGTTTTGAAATATATAAAGTGCACCAAACTTGACTCAGTCCATTCAACAATTCTAAATGGACAATTATGTAACTCATCAATTAATTATTTGAAAGGATAATTTGTCAATTAAATGCTAAAAAAAATAAACAATACATTAATGAGGCAAGAACTTTTTAAACTTGAACATACCTACACCCACAAGTCTATTTTTACCTGGTAAAAACCATCTAGCTTATGTGCACTTTTTAAAACACTGCCCAGCAAACATTCGGACGTTTAATGACAGTTGAACGGTCACAACTGTAAAATAATATCACAGGAATTAGGAAAGAATAATGACATCAACTCTATGTTCCTTGGCCGGACTCGAACCTGGATCCTCCAGAGTGAGAGTCACCCGCTCTCCCAGCTGAGCTATGACAGCAACTGCTGAATCTCAGATTTTTTTATATAGATAGGTAGAGAGTAAAGTGCGGGGTAAACTAACCAATCAGAGGACAGGGAAGATCTGCCACAGGCCACGCCTCCAGAGTGCCAAAAGCCCTCACAGCCGAGCGAGCGGAATTAGAAACCGAGCGCGCAGAGGCTGCCGAGCGCGCAGAGAGGCTGCCGTGCGCGCACGTTTTCCTCTGCCGTGTGCTCGTTGGCAACGCGCGCACGCAGGTTTGTCACTTGTGCACATCCTTGTGCGCTCACAGACACAGTTTGCTCCCTCTCAGTGCACAAATAACCTCTCGCCATGTATATTTTCGCTCGCGAGTCCCGTTCACGCGCGCGCTGCCATGTATATTTTCGCTCGCGAGTCCCGTTCACACGCGCGCTGTGGACCCAATGCGCGTGCACGGGTTGTGGCACGCTTTAAACGCCATATGTAAATGTCACTTCTGCAACTGGACTCTGAGCCTCTACAAGATAATGCTTTTTAGCCTGTATTTCTATATATTCTGCAGACACTGTGCGACTTTTTCGTTTGTAGCACTCAGTTTCAGCTCACACCGTACATCTGGTAGCAACACGTCGAACTTAAAATGTGCTAAAAATAGCAGTTTTACACAACACGTCGGACTTTTTACTGTGTTATTGATGTCCGTTGTCCCTCTGGGTTTCTGCAGGAGGACACGGGTCTTTATGAGTGGCGGAGGAAAACGAAAGAAAGTAAATAAATGTTTTGTGATCAGTATAATTTAACATAACCACGGCAAACATGCTTTCGACAATCCTTGTTATTGTGTGAGAAAAAAAGTGTAGAAATTAAAACGGACGTGTGTTAATAGGGAAACAGCCGGCGAGCTGTTTGCGCATGCACCGTGAGCGGTTCTGGTTCTGTTTGGGCAGCAGCCGCTCGCAGCGCTACTTCAACAGTTATCCTCCTAGTTTTTGTCTGGCTTGCAGGCTAGCAGATTCTCACACGAGGGGAAAATCAGCTCAGGTTGTATACTTATGTTTTGCACAGGCATTTGTTTACTGTGAAGTAAAGTTGAAGTGCTGAAGTTTTGCAAACTTAATTTTGAATAAAACTTGAAGAATAACTGGCAATTGCTTGCTCATTTTAAGAGATCTTTCATAATTATAACATGCTATTTGATATAATGGTTTACAAACACAAAAGGGTAATTTATTAGAGTACTCGATTAATCGAAAAAAAGATTCGATAGAGTACTCGATTACAAAAATATTCGATAGCTGCAGCCCTACTCATGACTGCTGATCGGCAGCTGGTCACGTGGTGTTAATCGCCTCTCGTAACCCCCTGTACACTACACGACGCTCGGCGCAAAACTCGCCCCGATCTTGTGGATTCTCGCACGAGTGGAAAATCGGCTCAAAAAAGTGAAAAAGTCACACAGTGTACGCCCGGCTTAAGCTAGGTACCGTGACCAAGCAGGCACTAATTTCAGGGCAGTAACCACGTCACTAAAGAAAAGGCTTTTGAACTACACTAAACTGAGTTAAGTCATGCCGAGTAGGTAGGTTCCTTTTTATAAATACGGAGAAGCAGACGACAGAGTACCTTAAAGTGGTTTCTAAAACTTTAAGCTAGAGCTTTAGCATCGATCTCAGCAGTTTTAAGTTAGAAACTTGACCCGTTTCATATTTGGAAACACTCTGCAGCTCTCTACTGATCAAAAACCACACTTGATAGTTTGGTGGAGCGGGTAGGTGCTCTATAGGGGGAGCCCTTTACCTGCTTTACAGCTGTTAGCTGCTATGCTAATGGTTAGCATTTTCAATTCACCGATCATCATTTGACCTTCTCAGTGGCCTAGTGGTAGGGTGTCGGTCCTGGGACTGGGAGATTGGGGTTCAAATCCTGGTTGGGTCACACCAAAGGCTTTAAAAATGGGACCCAATGCCTCCCTGCTTGACACTCAGCATTAAGGGGTTAGATTGGGGGGTTAAACCACCAAATTGTTCCCGAAAGCAGCCACAGCTGCAGCTTATCAATCCAAGCAGGGATGGGTCAAATGTAATTTTAACTCTAGCTGTTTTTACAGGACCATAACGTTTGCTAAACGGGATTTGCCGCAGCTCCGTAGAGAGGATAAAGGTCGTTTATAAGATCAGACCGTGGTGGTAATGTGGCGCAATTGTGGCAATTTTATAAAAGATTAGGTGATGGCAGCATAAAGGGGGTATGGGGGCGGTCTCTGCGATGCTGCAGACTTCCATTTATCTTGGACATAACTTGCTTTTTATTGCGATTGAAACCGTGATCGTTAAGTTTTTTTAACAAGCAGCTCCTTAAGGTGTCTGTCCCCATCAGTCCCTGTGCAGTCTCTGGTGATCCGAGCTTCAGCTCTAACAGAGAGGCTCATGGAGCGCTGCGGCGCTCCAGTTTGCCATCTCAGCTGATTTTGTTCAAAAAGCAAACCTTATTGCCTGTGTTTACTTTCATTTTCAATAAATTTGCCGGCCGGAGCTCAGCAATAACCCCCCACGTCATCATGACATCTGCCTCTGTTGCGCCATGGAGCATACGACAGACCATTACCGCAATATTACTACCAAGCGAGGCGGAACGAATGCCGCAAAATTTGTGTAACGCCATGCCGGCATGGCACGTTTATAGGCATACCATTGCGGTAATATTACGCCGATTTGCAGGCATGGTGTGTCGTATAAAAGAGGCTAGTGTGTGATGATGACTTTGGGACTTTAACTTTATAATGCACAAGAAAAGGAAAAAGAAGACGTTCACCTTTTCTTTGGCATCATGGCAGAGCCTGGAAGTAAAAGTAAGAGTAATGTCTTAAAAAGCGAACCAAAGAGCTAAAAGTGAACATCGGTGAGGTCTACACCAATTTGAAGACGCTAAAGTAGGCTGCAAAATCACAGACTGATGGTGACCTGGCATTGTTGCTACTGGACTTGTAAGTAACATTTTTTGTCCAACAGGATCTTTTTACTTTGTGTTTTACTTTATCATTAGGTGGCTCATGTAAATCTTAACTTATTGTTAGCACTAGCTACGGCAGGCTGCAGCAGGGTTGTTTTTGACAGTTGTAATTCCACTTTCAACCAGTAGGGCGGAGGAGCAGGAAGCAGCTACTTTAAAGTGTTTAATATCAATGGATGCAAGTTTATATAGACAATCACTGAGTATTCCATCAAATTAATCAAAGTGAAACCAGTTGGATGCCAACTGACATAAAACCATAGACAATAGGTCTGACATACTTGGGATCAAATTAGGACAACCCAATGTAATGATCTAAAGAAAGTGTAACTATTTGTTTTTATGAAGTAAATGTTTGTTTGTTTGTTTGCTGTAAATGGAACTTACCTGCACACCTAAAGCTCTGAGCAGTAAGTCCCTTCTCAACAGCCAGACAGGTGAGAATACTGAGGAAACTGGTGGTGACCGACTGTCGCTTGGCTCTCTGGGCCTCCCTCTGTCTTCCATCCCTTGATGGTTTTAATCTCCTCAGCAATACTTGCAGGCCTGGAGATCCCTCTCCCGAGTCTCTGGGGTTTTCTTCTGCAGGTCTTTGTGCTTCAACGGCCTCCCGTAGGGTCTTCACCCATTCCTGAGCCTTGAGGTGATCGTCTGCCTGAAGTTGGACTACCTCTTCAGAGAAAACAGCTTGGAAACACTTCCCTTTCTCTATCCATGACTCTTCATTGTCTGGCTCAAGATCATACTGCACAGCCAAACAGGATGCAAGGGAGAATTGGAGGACAGGTTGGGACACAGACCCATGGCCTTTGGTAGGGAAGGCCTGGAGAGAGGATCTAGACAGGACAAAGGTGAAGGCCCGCCAGTTGTTCTGATCCATCAGCAGGTGAAGCAAACCGACTTTGAGGACATCGCGACAGCGCTGGGTAAAGAGAGGCAGGGTGGTGGGTCTGCTCAGGACTACAGAGTTAGAGTGAGATGCATCAGCTGAGGTTGGGGTGTCACTGTCGCCATCAGGTCTTGTGTCAAGCCCGGACGGAGAGGGTGAAGAAGAGGGAGACATGGGAGTAGGGAAAGTGACTATCGGCTGATTTTCCACCGGGCTTTTATGCTTCCTCTCCTGCCTCATGGGTCTGACTGCCTGGACCTTCTCCCACATCAGCCGTTTCCACTCCAAGGCTTCCCATTGGTTTGCCGCCCTCAGCTGGAGACGTGTGCTGTTAAAGAACACTGTCTGGAGCGTGCGTTGATCAGCAGGCTGGCTGAACTGACTGGACTGGCTGCAGGGTGCTGGTGAGATGACGCTCTGGCAGTGTGACAGCGAGTAAACGGTGCCCAGCTGCCGGTTGGCACTGCTGTCTAAAGTGTAGAGTCGGAGCTCGCAGGACGTCAACTCGACGTAGCAGGGTGTCCAGCGGCCCCGGGGTCCCTCTCGCTGCTCTAGCTCACCCTGCTTCGCCACACTGCTACTGCTAGTTTTATCAGCTGGACAGAGACAGAAGGGGAGAAATGAAACACAGATGACTCATTGTGTGTGCTCATGATCAGCTGCTGTGTATAAAAAAACAGAGCAGTTACAGCTTCTGTGGATATAAAAATCTTCAACGGCGAGATTTTGAGAGGTGGAATTAAAAGGATGGTTTTAAGTGTATTTCTCTGAAAAAGTCATAAAAACACACATTTCTGCATGAACACAGTTTTACATCCAAGTCATAACCTGAAATACCATGTCAGTGTAACAGAATGAAATGACTGTTCCACATGTCATTTTCCCCCTCTCCTCTGACACAGAACTAGTCTGCATGAGATATGGCCACAAGGTCTCATGCATTTGCTATTAACTGCTTCTTTCCAGCTCAAGAGAAGAGTGAAGAATGGACTCTCTCCTTTTAATAAATCAAAGAACTCTATTTTAATAAAGCTAATCAAACAAAGTGTTAGTCAATAATAAGATGTGACCATTCTGTGAAATCCAAATATTAATTACTTTATTATAATCCTATAGAATATAATAAGTAATATGACTTTAAATGTTTCCACTAGGACTGATCTCACGTAGCGTTAAGAGACGACACATTGCTTTTACTGAACCAATCAGAATCTGCCAGATCTGACGGAGGTGTGGTTTTGGTGGTGCTTGGTAAATCTGTCATCTTTTCATTCGACCATAAACCAAAACATCCTAAGTATAAAACTATGCCCACGTCATCTTTAACGCCAGTTCAAAGCGTTCTGGAGAAGTGTCAGAGTGGCCAATCCGTAACTTTCCTCTTCAGCCGAAAGAACCAAGGACAAGCTGGATAAAATCTGTTGCTGTTCCAACTGCTGCAACGGTTCCTTTCAGAATAAAAGCTGAACCATCACGACCCAGGTTTGGGTCTCACTAGATGCCAACAAAACTGTCGTGACCTGGAAGTATCTCAAGACTGGTGGTCGGCTGCCGTGGCTGTTCCTACAGGCTTCGGCTCCACAAGGTCAAGCTGGACCTCTACACCTGCTGATCTAGACGGGGACTTCCGCTAAGGGTACGTAGACCGACAAATGGCGTCGAATGTGTTTATGAATCTCCTAACCAAAGCTTAGAGCGAAAACATCACCTTCATTTCCAATCAGAACTAATCGCTTCTTCGGATTTGCTGGAGCAACTCCGTCTCATTCACCTTAGTTACACCTCACATTTAGTGTTTAAGGTAGTCTACTTTTAATTTGTTTAGTACTAAATCTTTAAAGTTTTAAACTCGACTCTCTCTCTTCTGTTGTCTCTGAGTGAATACAAAGCTGTTATCTAATCCCTGCAATAAAAAGTTCCAATCTTCTGGTTAAAATAACCCAACATATCCATAAGGTTGATTTCATATTTCCTATGGAATCCTACGCCTTATGGCTTATTAAATGACATGTAATTTAAATCATTACATCAGGTTACATTTACCCTTTAATTTTAAACATGTTTTTCTTTCTATACAATGTGTTGGTCAATCAAATCAAAGATCATAGTTTAGAAAACAGATTTATGTTTCCATAAGTATCAACAAGCAGCGTGTGTTATAATAGCCAGGAACAATACAAAACATGTTGGAATGTAAAATAAAGTAAATGAGAGGTCTGCAGCATGTCTGACTAAAACACTCGAGAGTTCGTTAGTGGCACGGAGCTGATTATGGTTGAAGGCTTGTACGTGTGTGATGTCAAACCCTTGCAGGTTGACATGAAGGCTAATTTCACAAAGCCGTTTTCCTCGCCACAGTTCCTAATTCTCATCTCAACCCTCCCAAGCGTGAAGTCTGCCAATCAGCTGGACCAGGCTGCAGTTAAACTTATTTGCATATTTATTTATTTATTCCTTTGTTAATATGGAAAATCTGTGACCTGGACTGCCACCATGTCTGCCACTATTTTGGTAAGATTGATGAGACCCTGCACTCGCGTCCATTAAGATACCCAGAGCTGTAAATTATTTTTAGAAGTGAGAGTGATCCAGCATATTAAAGAAACACAACGCTATTTTTTCTCCTAGTTAAACTGTCTGGTGGGGTTTGCAAATAAATGCGTTTGTCAAGATTGTTTTAGGGGCTGAGAGAAGTGGCCTGATTGACGCATTTGAAGGTCAAAATGCATCAATAGCAAAGCTTGAAAATTATGTAGTTAAGGTTGATTTAGTTAATTGTGGGCAGAAGTACCTTAGGAGGTAGAGCGGTGGAACGTCCAGAAATGGTCAGTTTTCACCTACATATTGACCGAAACAATGTCCGGTCACCTACAGACCTAATTCCACTATCTATGTGGAGTTTCTAACCTGCCTTCTAAAGCCCAGAAGATTCTGCAAACCTTGTTGACATTTCAGGGAGAACAAGATATCAGCCTATGTTCCCAAACAAAGCCTTCTTTTGAAAAGACCACAGGATTGCTCTCTCTCTCATGAAAGAGGAACTTTTACAACTCATAAGTTAAATAATCATTAAATAATAATACGGTTGAATGAACAAATGTTATATGAATACAAATGAAATGTTTTGATTAATCTGTGCTTAAATTACTGAAGTGAAATGAATTTTATTATTAGATTGAAAGATTAACAAGGATGAAATGAAATATGACCCATATATTTAATCAGCATACTGACTGGACAAGACACACTCTCCATATATCAATGACGCAAGTTATAATTAACGTCACTGCACACAGATATTTTCTTATCCACAAAATCAGCATGAGGGAGGTGTGTATCTGAGTTTGTTTGCAAAACCCCTTTACAGGGCAAGTTCTGATTTATCAATAAACTAAGATACGGCCAATATTTAAACAGCATCACTCCCTGAGTGATTCAGTTGAGCTAACTCTGACTGGCCATCGGAGGGAAACTCAGCTCCCATCACATCTTTGACAGGCTGTCAAAACCCTGTTGCATGCTACAGCTGACCGCAAACGGTTCCTTCAGAACAAAGCTGAACCAACTTCAACTCCTTAAGTTATTCCTAAGACACAAACAACTGTGGTGACCTGGAGAACGGCCTGGTCGTACTGCTGTTTCTCCTACGGACTTCGGTACCTTTGGGGTCCATCAGACTATCTGACGGTCCGGATCTACAATGGGGGTCTCCGACGAAGGGTACGTGGGCTCACAGATTGCGTCTAATGTGTTTTTGATAAGAATCAACTTACAGTTTATAGCAGACCAAATTCACTCCCACTCAGAACTCAGTTTCTTCAGATACGAGGGTTCTGATAACATCACATTCACACATCATCACACCTCACATTCCATCCACTTAGATCCATTCACATAGTGTCCTAGTTGTCTTGTTTTTAATTGTTTAGAAAATAAATGTTTTACCTTTTATAAACCTGACTCTGTCTGAATTGATACAAAGTGTGTTTGAACACTGAAAAGTCAAAGAATTCTAATTCTTCTGATTAAACATTCAAAGACCAATCAGAGTGATACTTTATATTTATATAGAATATCACAGCTTATTGGTCATAAGTAAAGGTAATATATTAAGCTTAAAAGCAACAATATTTACCCCCTACAGCGGGTTGTCCAGTAATTGGAGGGTTATTGGTAGGGATGCTTGATATTGGCTTTTTTACCTATATCCAAAATCTAATATTGTCTAACTCTTAATTTCCGATATTGATATAAGAGGGGTCTCCCCTAAATACAAAAAGAAAAAAGTTTAAGTTGCTAACATCACATATCTCCTATCATGCATGCATAAGCTTTAAACATTATCCGTGCAAAATTCCAACTACTTCATAGAAAAAAAGTATCATGTTTAAAGTGACAGTGTGTATTTTTCCTGGCGATAGGGGGCAGTAGATACCTAAATTGTTGCAAGCAAGCAATATTTTCGTGTTGGGAGTAAAGCCTGATTCATGCTTCTCCGTCTGCGTCAGTGCTGAGACACGCAACGGCCTTGCGGACCTGCCGGAGAGCTCCGCAAGGACGGACGGAGTGGAGCCCACTTTTCTAAACATCCGTCAGTCAAGACGGACAACGCAAGCTTGTGATTGGTTAGGACGCCGCTGTTGTCTACAGCGCCGCCATTGCGCCCTCAAAAACATAAAGAGCCGAGGATAACAAGCGGCAGACACGGAGAAGCTTTAAGTATACCTAAAAAAAAAAACTCTAAAAACATGAACGTTTAATTCCCCCGTGACTGGATGAGTGAAAAGATGCGCAGCAAGCATTTTATTGGTGGACGGAAATGACAGGAAACGTGGGTTTAGTGGTGGCGAGTGCATGAAGGGGTGGAGGAGGATGAGAGGCAAATTTTTCTGTGTTAAAAAGTCTCTTATATACAAAAAAAAAAAAAACACAATATAAACACACTATCTTGGACCGGATACATGACAGGATACCACAGAACAGCGCTACGCCCTCTGTTGTCCTGCCGGGGAATTGCTTTGCAACACTCTCCAGGAGACTGAGAAGTATGAGAGCAAAATGCTTCCGTCAACCTGTGCGTGTCTGTCCCTTGCAGAGCTGACGGAGAAGCATGAATCAGGCTTAAGACCTTACCAATGGATGCTCATTGGGATCAAAAAGCCATGGGGAGTGCAAAGATCAGCAAAATAACGAGCACATCAGACTCCCCTTCATCACAAGTGGAGAGGTAAATGTGTAAAACAGCAACATTTAAGAATGGTGAAAGTTCTGTAACCATTTGTTACAAATCAGTACATGCATTCTGTCCTCACGGGCTCCCGTAGAAGGAAACATGGCATTTAAAATAGTGTCGTCCAGAGACTTCGACCTGCTCCCATGTATTTTAGACCAGATTTTTATAGTTATATGTTACAAAGCCGCCAATATTTTTTAACAACGGCATCATTTAATTCATTTTCAATAACATTTTGGTGGAAATTTCCAGAGATTAAAAAAACTACACATTGTCTCTTTAATGTGTCTCCAATAGCAGCTGAAAGACATTCTTCCTGGGATAATCCTGACAAATGCTCTGTGACGCCTGACTACTAAATTCCTGATGGGAATTTTTTTTTTATTAATTATTAATGATAAAATGTTGTAGGTTTTGAAAACAGATCAGTGAGGCATCACTGTTACAATCTTTGTTATATTATCTCTGCGAAACATGACAGAGTGAAAGCTCTCAACTCAGAACTATCACTGACATGGTTTCCGTTTTGTCCGCTCCCGGTGTGTTTACATCTTACATTTAGGGAAAACAATGAATACGCTCATTTTGCTTCATATGTTCGTGCAAACATTTGTGTTTGTATCTTATACCTACTTGATAAAATATGAGCAGTGTGAGCATGCACATGCTAAGCTAGGCTAATTGCTAAGCGCAATGCTAAGACGTGCATTAGTTACTAATGGTGATGAAACATTTATAAAGATCTTCATTTAATAAAAGTAAGCTTGGGTGAAGATTCTTGTGTTTGTTGGTTGTTTTCTGGCTAGCCACACACGGCTAGGTGCTGTTAGGGAAAGCAGATCCTCTATACAGGGTAAGATCCTAATTACTCACAAGTTGTGCCAAATAAAACTAAAATATCTTATAAACTAAACCTCAAATTTGTCATATTTTGGCCTTTGAGAGAGAGGAGATGAAGCCGAAGAGTTTGATGAGTAAAATGAGCATGGAATGTACAAGTTGAGTCACTACAGCAGTAAAGACCGATAGATATTTTCCAATATTGCATTTTAAGGCCAATATTGGCCGATAATATTAGTGGACTGATAATATCTCTAGTGTCGGATCAACCCTGGCCCCACCAGAGGATGTTGCTGTTGTGTCTTTAGGCAAGACCCTCCTTGCCTGCTGGTGGTGGTGGTCGGAGAGACCGGTGGCACCAGTGTTCTGCAGCCTCGCTTCTGTCCCTGCACCCAAAGGCAGCTGTGGCAGGTGTGAATGTGTGTGAATGGGTTAATGACTGTCTGCGTTGTAAAGTGTCTTTGGGGGTTGTAGAACCCTAAAAAGTGCTATACAGGAAATGTTCCATAATTGCTGCAAAATTAATACTAATTCAGACACCGTGAGCAGTTATTTGCACGTTACTGTGAAAGCTGATATATTGTGTTTTCCAAGCTTACTTTGGTCTTATTCTTCACATTTTAAGCATTACTGCATAGTCCTTGCAGTTTGCTCCTAGTTTTGGTAAAGAAACTAAACCATGCATTAGATCTGGGTATGCTACTGCTGTCCCCTTTTCTTTCTTTTGGTCTTCATCTGTTAAGATGGTGAAATAAAAATTACACGGATAAAACAGAGAAACTCCATCACATTTGGTGCAGATGGAGGCTGTTCTTGCAAAACTAGATTTGCTGGATTTTTTTTTGTGTGATAAAAATAAATTTGTTCTTTGCTCACACCTGTGAGTCTTCTTCCTGTTTTTGTATATTAAAGAAGCAGCGCTTTAAAATAACACAGCCAGCTGTGATTACCTCAGCACCAGCCGGCTTGGGTGGAGGATGAGCTGCTTAAGGGCTTGTTGGATGAACTAAAAGGTCTCAAAGATTCAATCGCAGCGTCCTGCCCTACACAAACTTTTAAATAAAACTTCCGTATTTTACTTTCTTAATCAGTTTATTTTAGTGATTAAATGCAGCTATAGGTCTTACTGCCCTTGCTGTATTTCTGAATCCCAGCAAGGTGAGAAATTAAATATTGTCATAAAGGTTTATTGGAGAAACCTGCCGTTCAGAAAAACGCCTGTTCATCTACGGATCGATTTTCACACTTTAAAAAATGTAACATTTGAAGATTGAACATGACTTATTTGGAAAAACATCATCTGGTTACAACACCCTACTAAGTAGTTTTTGTGAGCATATATTCTACCATCATAGATGCAAGGATCCAAAGGTGGAAACTATGGACACATGTCTTCGCTGCCTGATCACAAGCTCAATGATCACTCTGATTATCATGAATGGTAAAAATGAAGACATATAAATGTTCCAGACTCGTAGAATTAGCTACATCAAATTTTCCCCTATGTCAGAATAATGTCTGAAGTACTAAAGCTACTTGTTCTTTGTAAGTAATGAAGCGCCATTGTCTATTTATTCCATGTCTAACTATGAATGTTTGGTCCTGAAAAAGTACTAAATGTTATTTGTGACATGCTGCAGTTTTAAGAAGCCAGGACCATCCTTTCCCATCAGACCTAAAGAAAAGTCAGTTTGGTTAAATATGTATACTGTTTATGTAAAACTGTGATAATCAGTTCCATTTACTGTCTAAACATCTCCAGCTGTCACTAATGGAAAGGCAAACAGACCTCTTTTTTTGTTATTTATGTGAATGAGGAGACACAGCGAGGCCGAGCTAAATCACTTTGCCTTCTGCTTATTACCGTCCTCTTCCTCCTCCTCTTCTTTCAATCCACATCCAGCCAAACTAAACAGCCTGATATCTTTTCACACATATGCTAATACTAAATAATCCTGCCCGTATCAGGGGCCTGGTAATTGGGTTGCCTCTTCTCTCGCCTCATTTGAGTCCATTTGCTGACAGGATTACAGGCTATTATCCCTCAGGATCCCTTAGGATCTCCTTAGGTTTTCAGATAGCCAAAACACACAAACAAATAGGCAGTGTGTGTGTGTGTGTGTGTGTGTGTGTGTGTGTGTGTGTGTGTGTGTGTGTGTGTGTGTGTGTGTGTGTGTGTGTGTGTGTGTGTGTGTGTGTGTGTGTGTGTGTGTTGGCTCTCTGAATATGGAGCGTCACAGCTGTGTCATTTCAAGTTATCATCATCTTCTATCATTATTCCTTTCTCTGGGGAGGCTTCAATCCAAGTACAGCACACGCCCCGATCGACAGCACAAATAGTCCAGACGTCTGTCCTCCAAAAGCCTCTCAAAGGCTGAGAAAGCTTTTCAGTGAATGGACTGCCGTTCAGAGCAGAAAACGAGAAGGAGAGGGAGGAGGAGGAGGAGGTGTGTGCAGGTAAGGGCTGGCCTTCTGGTGAGAATTAGGAATGCTTCAGGTTCACCGAAGGGCATGACATCATCTTCAATGAGTCAAAGCAACTCTCCGCACAACAAATTAGGGAGATGAAAAGCCATTAAAGGGTCAGTTCACCCAAATGAAGAACCAGACAAGAGAGCAAACATGTCTGAATGCTGACAGACGGACTAAATAACACAGATTACCCCGTAAAAAGGGCCAGATTAGATGGTAACAGTTTGTTTAGATTCAGAAAAGGGCAGGTGTCACTGACTGAGCAATGTGAGTATGTGCTTTTGATGAGTCGGAAACATTCACAGGACTGCTACAAGTCACAGTAGAAGAAAACATAGGATTTTAATTAGATATGCACAAAATATTAGCATTTACATCGGTATCACCAATGTTGGTTATCTTTTACAGTATTGGTATTGACCAAATAAGTGAAACTGGGCTGATATTAACGATCAGTATTAATTTACATCTAGTTACCATGCATGTTTCAGGAGGGGAAGTGGAGTGCTCATGCGGTATTTATTTCATGTGATCATCGCAGAAGCGTGTGTATGAATGTATGTATAACTATATTTTTGGTAAATATTGGTTATCGGCCATAACAGCATTACAAATAGCTGATAGTTATTTCGGTTTAAATTGTCACTTTTATTCTAAACATCTGCACAGCCTGTGGGTGGACTCACCTTCCTGCTGCTGGTTGAGCATCATGTTCTTCAGCGTGTTGCAGTCCACTGTGGGCAGACCGTTGTCCGTGTATGCAGATGGACGGTAGTTGACATCTGACCTGGACCGGTTGTGTCCCTTCTTAAACACCGACTTGGATGAGGAGTTGCCCGTGTTGTTGGTGCACTCCTGGATATGGGCCGCCAGGTCATTGGTGGATCGCGCTCTACTTCTCTTACCATGCCTCAAGCCCATTCCCAGTCCCAGTACACTAAAGTTGTCGGCCCAAGCCAGGCCCAGGGGCCCCACCTCCGGCTGCTCTCCAGCCAGCAGACCCCACACACCACTGGAGCCCAGCTTCCCCAGAGCAGCGCTGGACACGTCCGGCATCTGCTTGGGCTGCCTCGGAGGCTGCCGGTTGTTAGCTTGAACCAGGCTCGGACCTTGGCCTTGCATCCTGTCCATGCAGTGGATAAAGTCCTCTGTTGCCTCCAGCGCTGGGCTGATATCACCCACTCCATTAAGTTGCTCCAGTCCCTCCATGTCTGTTCCAGGACAGGCTTCCCACTGAGCTAGAACTCTTATGCTGAGACAGCTTTCCACCAGCACAAAAGTCCTTTTATCAGCATCCACATATCAAACAAGCACCTATGTGGATATTTTAGCTTTGCAGATGAGCTAAGGGGAGAATAAAATTCAGGATCTCTAATTCCAAAAACTGTTGTTGACATTCATGCCCTACTCTTCAACCGAAGGCTTCACTCAGCTTTAGTCGTCCTTTTCTGTGACATTCTTCTACTTCTACAATAGTTTTGCTTTTTTCACCAGAAGAAGAACTGCTTCAGTTTCATGCCCGAGCCCAAAAACTGGTCCAGACTCTAAAGAGCAATCAGATTTGGACAGAAATCTATACCAGCGTCACTTTTAGTAAAAGGAAGCAGCAAAACGTTGAGGTACAGTCTCTTGCTCAGACTTCGGGGTCAGAAATCAACCAGCACGCTCTGAGTTTTGGTTCCCTTTTCGGCCAGTCGGCTGGTTAGAAGATCAACAGATCGAGGCTGTTTGTGGTTTCTCTGTAATGAAGAAAAAGAAACAGGAAGTAGTCAAGACAAATCCTGCATGTAGAACAGAAACAGCTCACTGTAAAGTAAATGATTAGTTTTGCCAAAAATCACTTCTTGATTCAGCTGATTTGATTTAATTTGACACGTTGTTGAGAGAATAACAAAGTTTCAACTTCACTACCACCTACCTACCAGCAGCATCTTCAACACTCTGAGCCTGACAGACCTGCCTTCTGTCGTCTCTTACGCGTCCCGCTGAAATAATGCTCGACTTCCTCCTCGGCTGCTTATCGCTGAACAGAGCAGAGAGGAACCAGGCCAGGGTGGGGTTCCCATCTATCTGTCTGTCTGACTGCCCTCTGCTCTCATTCTCTCAACTGCATATACTGTTTATATACCCTCGCGCAATGCAGCTTGTATTGATTTTTTTCCTCCTACAGATATTAATTATTTAATGGCTATGACATCACCGCAATCCCAAGTCTGGTGAAAAGCTCCAAAGATGAAGCCAATGGTCCAGGATCCTTTGTTGGAAATACAGAATGCTTTCATTGGTTCGTGAAAGATTTTATTTAAAACTTTAAAGCTGTATTTATTTTTATTTAGGTTACTCTTCTTTTCCTTTTGCGAAATGCTCACACAGCAAAACCACCTGACTTATAAAAGCATCCAACGCCATGTCATCCAGACTAATCTCTAAACTACACTTTCTAAATATGAAATGCTCAGCATTTTAAAATAACTTCAAAACCCGACTATTGTAAACACTTTAGTTAAGATCCAATATTATAACTTTGTTCTTCTGCACTGTAAAGTTCTTACATTTTCTTAACCCTATTTCAACATTTGGTCAAAAATAGCTGCGCAAGATTCTGGAAAACTCACCAAGAATCATCTCTTAAGTTAAAAGTGATGATGTGTATTTTCCCTGGCGATAATGCCTAAATCACTGCAAGCAAGCAGTATTTTTGTGTTCGAGCAAGACCTTGCCAACGGATGGCCATTAGGGTCAAAAATCCCTGGGAGAACAACCTCCAGCAAAATGACAAGCACACCAGACTCCCTGGCAACGAGCGAAGAGGCAAACATGTAAAACAACGTTTATGAATGGCGAAAGTTTTACAGCTGCTTGTTACAAATCAATAAATGTGTTTTGTTCTCACGGGCTCCTGTAGAAGGAAACATGGCGTCTAATATGGCATTGATAAAGTGACTTAGCCCTGCTCCCATGTATGTTAGACCCTAACTCTATGGTTACTATGGTTATATTATGTTATTAAGCCACTAATACTTTTTAACAAACTGGGCATCATTTAAGTCACTCTCGACAACATTTGGATGGATATTTCCAGATATTACCAATAAAAACTACACATTGTCTGTTTAATGGAAGTTAATGTGAGATTTAGGAGATCGGAGCAATTTAAAGATGCAGCGACAACAAAAGTCAACGTAAATAACAATGTAATGTCAAACTGATGGCTATGAGGAGGTTGTATCATAACAGCACAAGAGCATCTTTGAAATTTTAGAGACTGGAGCCATTTTAAATAACAGTAATATGATTTTAATCTGGGTTGCGATCTGACTAGCCTTTAGCTTGTCAAGCCTGTAGGGGAACAATGAGGATCAATGGTATCCATCCATTTTCTGAACCTGCTTTGTCCATGCAGGGTCGTGGGGGGGGGGGGGGGGGGGTACACCCTGGACAGAGAGGACAAACAGTCATGCGCACGCACACACACACACACACACACACACACACACACACACACACACACACACACACACACACACACACACACACACACACACACACACACACACACACACACACACACACACCCTAAGGACTATTTGGACAGCCCAATCAACCTAACAGTCTTGTTTTTGGACTGTGGGGGGAAGCCGGAGTGGATCGATGGTAATTAACTGTAATGCTTACACACCTAAACATGACCAGAAAGATCACCTTACTATGTTTAGACCTTTCATTAAGACAGAGTGTTGACATTTTACTATTATTCATGTTTTAGAGCAGAATGTGAAATTACAACATAAAGCCATTCAGATATTCACATAAAATCTGGAGATTTGGAATTGTTCATGCTTTATAAAAACTAATACGCATAGCAGCATGAAGGATATAATATTAACATTTTCTCTAAATCATTATTCACTTTTTACAGAATAAATGTGTTTAAAAACTGGTAATACAATTTGCTGAGAACTTTAGTTAAACCACAGGGCTTTCACTGCTGAAGGATGACGCTCTGAGCAGATTACTATTGACCTTTTAACATTACATCTACACATTTCCATAGTTATGATGACATCATGTGTCTGCTGATACAGCTCTGATATTACTGTGAATCATTTTCAGTTAATCATCAAAATCAACCCAAAAATCTTGATTCATCACAAGGGGGAAAAAACACCAACTGTCAAAACCACATAATCGTCGCTACGTGGAAGCAGGAAATGTTTTTGCATGGCAGCATTATTCCAACGTGAAATGTCTTATACTTTTACACTTAGTGTAAAGTTCTATACAGACTATAAGATACATCTCCAGTTGCTTAGGTATTTATTTACATAAGGACTGCCTAAAAATAACAGGATGGATGTAAATACGTGTAAACTGTGCTGTTTCATGTAATCTAGCTGATAAATTAGTTTTAATTAACTCGACCCTGTTCCTGGGCTAAACTCTGTTACACTTGGCTGTAATATCTTAAGACGAAAAACTAAAAAAACAATAACTATCAGTGTTTCCATTAAACACGACGTCCAATCGTCGTTGTTTCTCGATTTAATCATTTTATGCTTGAACGAAAACAGCTTTCCAAATGTATTTATAAAAAAACCTGTCACGATTAGAAGCACACGTTTTAAAGCGGCTGAAGCAAACGGTAATAAGTGATTATTGATCACAAGGTGGGACGAGTCTAGCTGTTTCTGTTGAGCTCTTTAAGAGTCAGAATATCCACGCCAGCCTTCCGATTAGCTTTAGCAACTCATATATGTTCTTCATTATTAAAACACATACGCAAAACCCACTAGGCCCATAGGACGTGTTTCAGCATCAGGCCTGTTTATCTCTGACTAATGTGATGGAGCTAACAGCTAACGTTATCCGCTTTCCATCCTTGATCAATGTCATTTAAAAAAACATAATTCATATAATTTCCTCTGCCTACAACCACAGTGTTTCTCTGGAGAAAAGCTGCCTTTACCTGCTAGTAATACTAATGCCACCGACAAGCCGTAAATAAAAATAAATTCAGACTTACTTGTGTTTATCATTATGTCATTCTGCAGTACGTCAGCGTGAAAGTCTCCGGCGTGAAACTTTAGACTCTAAATAAAGGTTCCGTGTCTCGTCAGTACACAGCGTTCCTGGTCTGAAGCCAACATGAGCAGAAACATTGTGAACATTAATTTATATCAAAATAATTTTGTACAACCCTTATTTCCTTTTAACTGAAACTGACAACTATTAAATGGCTTATATTAAGTTAACGCCTCAGTGAACTGAGAGAGAGAGAGAGAGAGAGAGAGAGAGAGAGAGAGAGCTTGAAGTTACTCCTAAATCATATCTAATCGTTTTTATATATAATACCATAATATTGAAACAACAATAATAATAATAATAATAATTATTATTATTATTATTATTATTATTATAAAAATATACATTTAAAATTTTATATAAAGTAATTTATAGAAACCAATTGAGATATGAAAAGATATTTATAAAGATAAGAAGCCTAAATATGTGTAACCTGCAAAGTTCAACTCCTCCCCTGTGACTGTATTGCCAAACTCATGGCTAATAAATATAATATATATGATTTTTTTTCACTATTTTAAAAACTACATTTATCTGTTTAGAAGTTTGAAATATTTTCCACCATTTCCCTTTCCTATCCTTTATTTTATCAGAAGGATCAAAGATGTTTTACCTGATATTATGAGCCTTTTAGATTTTTCAAGGACCTTACTCCATCTCTCCCTGATGTGTTTTGCATTAAACCAATTCTGATACACATAGTGCATTTCCATTATTTTCATTACCATGAAATGGGATGAAAATCCCTAAAAGGTATGATCAATACTATGGATGGTGGCAGAAGGTAGCACATTTACACCGTCTCACAAAGAAAGGTCGCATAAACGCAGCTACACCAACAAATCTGACCAAGATGGGAAAAGGACCAAAGGAAGGAGGACAAAGCAGAGGTGAAGAATAGTTTCCGGCTAATGGGCTCCTTGAAGCTGACCCTGAACCTAAAATATCTTTCTAACAGGGAAAAACACATAATTCTCCTTCATGTAGTGTTCTCTCAAAGGCTGAATCAATATGAAAAGCTGATGAAGTAGTTCTCTGTGTTAAAAATATATTCCTGTGAATCAATATTTTATGACATTAAATTCGCGGACAGGTACAGTTCCTTTTTAAGGAATTATATTATGCATTTGTTATTCCCATAGATATCTGAACTACTTATTTCATGCAGAAGAAACTGCAAATATCTATATTAGTTACTGATCACAATAAATATATTAAAGTTGCACTATATAACAGATATTTAGTTTATAAGGGGAAAAATAATTAGAATGTCCAAACCTCTGGCAGCTTCTTCACATTCACTTTTCACATATTTCATAGTCCATTTTCTAAGATCAATGGGACAAATCTTATTTCAGATGACTATCAAATAATTGAATCAATCAACAAGAGGTTAATTTTTCATAATGAGGGGGCGGTTACACAGTGCTGGAGGAAAGTGTTTCCTGTTTAATGATTATTTCTGTTATTGTCTTTAAAGAGCAAGTCACCCCCAAATAAACTTTTTTTTGCTGATAAACGAAATAAACGAGTGTCTAATCGTGCTGCAGACACGTGTCGTCAATAATTTGGCACTTCAGTGCATCTTAGTTAAAATTTAAATATTCTGCCTAAAACTAGCAGTGTTGTGCCGTTGTCAGGTAAAAACTCTGCACTGCATTTTAATTTAAATCTGCCACCACTATTGGCTAAGAGGTATGCTATGATGTAAACTGGTACATTATGATGTCACAATGCTGTCGTGAGCCTGAGTGTGTGTGTATTTGTTAGTGGCTCCGCCCTCTCGGTCTGCCAGGCAACAGCATGTGTTGCATTTTTCAAACATGAAGCGGGAGTGGAGTTAGACTCTGGTAGGGGGTGACTTGCTCTTTAAGTCTCCTAAATGTTTCAGACCAGCATTACCGTTTCAATATTGGAAAAAGATAATCCCATTAAAGACAAAATATAGTTTTCAAAGATGGTTTAATTTCTAAAGAGGAAAGAAATCTAAAACAACTGGAGCCTATGTGGGAAATTAATTGATTCTTAAAGTTGCATGAATTTAAAATTTTATCTTGTGGTCAAATTGGGGTACTGCAGTCCCTGTGTCAAACAAACAAATCCGCTTGAGTTTCATGGCTGTTGCCAGTTAAAGGTCAATGACAGAAGATTCCATTCCAGTCCAAATGTATTTATAGAGCAGGTGGGGGAATCAGACAAAGGGCAGCCCACGGATCCCTTATGAGGAAAAACATAAATGGACACAGTGTTCCCTCGCTCAGACGTGCGTCTCCCCCATGGAGCCAGGGCTGAAGGTGGGGCATGCTGATGAGTGCTTGGTGGCCAGGTTTTCACCCATGGAGCCCAGCCGGGCACAGCCCAAAGAAGAGACATGGATCCCCCTTTTCATGGACTCACCACTCATAGGAGGGGCCAAAGGGGTCGGGTGCAATGTTTGATGGGTGGTAGCGGACGGCGGGGACCTTGGCGGTCTGACCCAAGAGAGACCTGAGCCGGAAGTCAAAGCTCTCAATTTACTGGTCGATCTATGTTCCTACCCTCACCTATGGTTACAAGCTTTGGGTAGAAACTGAAAGAATGATATTGCGGCTACTGGTGGCCTAAATAAGTTTTCTCCACAGGGTGTCTGGGCTCTCCCTAAAAGATAAAAAAACTTGATCATCCAGGAGAGGCTCGGAGTAGACCCGCTGCTCCTCCACATCGAGAAGAGAAAGTTGAGGTGGCTCGGTCATCTATTTAGGATGCCTCCGGGGCGCCTCCCTGGTGAAGTTTTCTGGCCACGTCCAACTGGGAGGAGATGACCCAGGACATGCTGGAGAGGCTACTTAAACGTACACTCACACATCACTTCCTTATATTTTCTTTGAGGAAAATCTCTCATTTTTAAGTCAATGAGTGATTTGGTGGGAATGTAAATGCTGTTAAAATGTTCTGTGTAGATTTAATGATGTAGGTGACTGATTATAATAAGCTAAATAATTTCATGAATATATATAGTTGTGTTGAAATGTCTTTATTTTAAATGTACCTGTGTAAGGTGTAAGAGCTAGCGTCTCGGGAGAATACCCTTAACGAGAGTACACAAGACTTTTTTCATGGACTATGAGGGAGCAGATGTCTCTCATG